GTAAGATTTGGAACTTAAGATTTAGTTTGGAATCTGTGGAGAATTATTCCAGCGAGTTGTAGTGGGGAGTTTAAAATAATGACAGGATTCAGCCAAGTCTTTATCCAGGACTAAATCACGCGTAAAACAGGTCCAAACTAGAATTGAACACGATAGAAAAGTGGACTAATTCAGGTTTAAACCAGGATTTATTCCAAGACTATTTAAAGTCTTTTTCCAGTTCTAAATCACATGTAAAACAGGTCCAAACTAGAAATGAATACGATATAAAAGTGGACTAAATCAGGTTTAAACGAGGATTTATTCCAAAACTATTTCAAGACTATTCCAGGACTATTCCATATCTTTTTCCAGTTCAAAATCACATGTAAAAAAGGTCCAAACTAGAATCGAACAAGATAGAAAATTGGACTAAATCAGGTCTAAACCAGGATTTATTCCAGGACTATTTAAAGTCTTTTTCCAGTTCTAAATCACACGTAAAACAGGTCCAAACTAGAAATGAATATGATATAAAAGTGGACTAAATCAGGTTTAAACGAGGATTTATTCCAAAACTATTCCAAGACTATTCCAAGACTATTCCATGTGAGTTTAGAGTTCTAAATCACGTGTAAAAAAGGTCCAAACTAGAATCGAACACGATAGAAAAGTGGACTAAATCATGTCTAAACCAGGATTTATTCCAGTACTATTCCAGGACTATTCCATGTCTTTTTCCAGTTTAAAATCACACGTAAAACAGGTCCAAACTAGAAATGAATATGATATAAAAGTGGACTAAATCATGTCTAAACCAAGATTATTCCTGGACTATTCCAATTTTTATTTTTATTTTTTTCCAATTTTAAATCACACGTAAAACAGGTCCAGACTAGAACTAAACACGATAGAAAAGTGGACTAAATCAGGTTTAAACGAGGATTTATTCCAAAACTTTTCCAGGACTATTCCGTGTGAGTTTAGAGTTCTAAATCACGTGTAAAAAAGGTCCAAACTAGAATCAAGTACGATAGAAAAGTGGACTAAATCAGGTCTAAACCAGGATTTATTCCAGGACTATTCCAGGACTATTCCAGGACTATTCCATGTGATTTTAGAGTTCTAAATCACGTGTAAAAAAGGTCCAAACTAGAATCAAGTACGATAGAAAAGTGGACTAAATCAGGTCTAAACCAGGATTTATTCCAGTACTATTCCAGGACTATTCCATGTCTTTTTCCAGTTCAAAATCACGTGTAAAATAGGTCCAAACTAGAATCGAACACGATAGAAAAGTGGACTAATTCAGGTTTAAACCAGGATTTATGTCAAGGCTATTTCAGGACTGTTTCAAGTCTTTTTATAATTCTAAATCACGTGTAAAACAGGTCCAGTCAAGAACTGTCTAGCATAGAAAACTGGACTAAATCAGGTCTAAACCAGGATTTATTCCAAGACTATTTAAAGTCTTTTTCCAGTTCTAAATCACACGTAAAACAGGTCCAAACTAGAAATGAATACGATATAAAAGTGGACTAAATCATGTCTAAACCAAGATTATTCCTGGACTATTCCAATTTTTTTTTTTTTTTTTTTCCAATTTTAAATCACGCGTAAAACAGGTCCAGACTAGAACTAAACACGATAGAAAAGTGGACTAAATCAGGTCTAAACCAGGATTTATTCCAAAACTATTCCAAGGACTATTCCAGGACTATTCCGTGTGATTTTAGAGTTCTAAATCACGTGTAAAAAAGGTCCAAACTAGAATCAAATACGATATAAAAGTGGACTAAATCAGGTCTAAACCAGGATTTATTCCAGTACTATTCCATGTGATTTTCCAGTTCAAAATCACGTGTAAAATAGGTCCAAACTAGAATCGAACACGATAGAAAAGTGGACTAATTCAGGTTTAAACCAGGATTTATGTCAAGGCTATTTCAGGACTGTTTCAAGTCTTTTTATAATTCTAAATCACGTGTAAAACAGGTCCAGTCAAGAACTGTCTAGCATAGAAAACTGGACTAAATCAGGTCTAAACCAGGATTTATTCCAAGACTATTTAAAGTCTTTTTCCAGTTCTAAATCACACGTAAAACAGGTCCAAACTAGAAATGAATACGATATAAAAGTGGACTAAATCATGTCTAAACCAAGATTATTCCTGGACTATTCCAAGTTTTTTTTTTTTTTTTCCAATTCTAAATCACGCGTAAAACAGGTCCAGACTAGAACTAAACACGATAGAAAAGTGGACTAAATCAGCTTTAAACGAGGATTTATTCCAAAACTATTCCAGGACTATTCCATGTGATTTTAGAGTTCTAAATCACGTTTAAAAAAGGTCCAAACTAGAATCAAATACGATATAAAAGTGGACTAAATCAGGTCTAAACCAGGATTTATTCCAGTACTATTCCAGGACTATTCCATGTCTTTTTCCAGTTCAAAATCACGTGTAAAATAGGTCCAAACTAGAAATGAATACGATTTAAAAGTGGACTAATTCAGGTTTAAACCAGGATTTATGTCAAGGCTATTTCAGGACTGTTCCAAGTCTTTTTATAATTCTAAATCACGTGTAAAACAGGTCCAGTCAAGAACTGTCTAGCATAGAAAACTGGACTAAATCAGGTCTAAACCAGGATTTATTCCAAGACTATTTAAAGTCTTTTTCCAGTTCTAAATCACACGTAAAACAGGTCCAAACTAGAATTGAACACGATAGAAAAGTGGACTAAATCAGGTTTAAACCAGGATTTATGTCAAGGCTATTTCAGGACTGTTTCAAGTCTTTTCAGGACTAAAACCAGATCCAAACCAGGTCTAAACCAGGACTAAACCAGGACTAAAACCAGGTCCAAACCAGGTCTAAACCAGGACTAAACCAGGACTAAAGCAGGCTAAACCAGGTCTAAACCAGGTCTAACCAGGCAAACCAAACCAAACCAGGTCTAAAACTAAACCAGGTCTAAACCAGGTCTAAACCAAGATTAAACCAGGACTAAACCCTAAACCAGGTCTAAACCAGGTCTAAACCAGGTCTAAACCAGGTCAAAACCAGGTCTAAACCAGGTCTAAACCAGGTCTAAACCTAAACCAGGTCTAAACCAGGTCTAAACCAGGTCTAAACCAGGTCTAAACCAGGTCTAAACCAGGTCTAAACCAGGACTAAACCAGGTCAACCAGGATCAACCAGGACTAACGTAGGTCTCAGTTGGGACTAAACTGGCAGTAAATTGTCTGAACCAGGGCTTAAAAAAGAAGGACGACTTTAAAGTTTGTAGAATCAAAACAGGACAGTAGGAAGTGGAGAAAGGATGTATTGATCTCGATCAATACTTGTGAAATTTCCAAGTACTGATTAATTAATTTATTTATTAAAGTATCAATTGAAAAGGTCTATATGACGTTACTTTCTGATCTATGTTATTATGTTTATTCGTCACAAACAGACCTGGAGTTGTGTTTTTTTGTTTCACTCACACATGTTTAACACACAAATCCTGCATATTTACACATTAGAAGTTCTTCTCTCAAACAGAAAACACTCTGGTTCACTTTATGATGTCACGTGGTAATACAGGAAGTGCTCCACTGTGTTTTTAAACTCCGCACACCTTCACTAGAATCGTTCGGATAATTTCAGACCTGGAATTGACGATCTTCACTGAACTAAAGGTAAAGACAACTCCAGGTCTGTTTTTGAGGAGGGAACAACATTATAACACCGATTAAATCTCACAAGAGTCATGATTTTGTAACTTGACCATGATTTGGAAAAATGTGGATGTGCCTCCTATAAAAGTTTGGACTGTGGAAACGGCGTCTTGTTTTGCGTTGGAAAGACTTACATTTATTTTGAGAGGAAAAGCTGAGGACTTCGAGGACATTTCTAACCCTAACCCCCATCATCGTGATCACGTGACCGAAACCCTCCTATTGTCTGTGTGTGATTCATGTTGTTATTGTTTTTGTTTTCTTTTATTTAGTTTTTTCTTTTGTTGTTTTTTTTTTTTTATTTCTATATGTTTTGTTAATATTTTAATATGAAAATCTCAATAAATACATTGTTAAAAATAATCTCACAAGAGTCAATTTTGCGTAACGTAGGATCTTTAAAGAAACAAATTGCGCTGTTACGATTGATCGACAAAACAATCTGAACGCCACTTGTGATTGACTCTTTCTTTTGGATCAATATTACAATGTTCCCGTGTTTGCTTTTACTGTTCTTAATCCTTTCACAACAAGACGGCGAACATGCTGTTTAAAGGCACATGGACAGAGTTGGGGAGTAACAGATTACATGTACCGGAGTTATGTAATCAGAGTACAAGTTATGAGTAACTGTATTCAGTTACAGTTACTGTTTCAGTGAGTGGTAATTGGATTACAGTTACTTTGTTGAAATAAATGGATTACACAGAGGGATTTTCCTGTTTTCACATTTTAGGCTAAATCCCTTTTTTCTTTTTTTTTCTGTAATTCCACTCATTGCCAGACACTAAACCAGGTCTAAACCAGGTCTAAACCAGGTCTAAACCAGGACTAAACCAGGACTAAAGCAGGACTAAAACCAGGTCTAAACCAGGACTAAACCAGGTTCAAACCAGGTCTAAACCAGGACTAAAACCAGGACTAAAACCAGGTCTAAACCAGGACTAAAACCAGGACTAAAACAGGACTAAACCAGGTTCAAACCAGGTCTAAACCAGGACTAAATCCAGGACTAAATCAGGACTAAAACCAGGTCTAAACCAGGACTAAAACCAGGACTAAAACAGGACTAAAACCAGGTCTAAACCAGGACTAAAGCAGGACTAAAGCAGGACTAAAACCAGGACTAAACCAGGACTAAAACAGGGTCTAAAACCAGGTCTAAACCAGGACTAAAACCAGGACTAAAACAGGACTAAAACCAGGTCTAAACCAGGTCTAAACCAGGACTAAACCAGGTCTAAAGCAGGTGTAAACCAGGTCTAAAACCAGGACTAAACCAGGTCTAAAACCAG